TTTTTTTTTTTTTTTTTTTTTTTTTTTTTTCACGACTTGTGTGGTAGTGCCTGGCCAGCCCTGTATGGTGAGGCCCAGTCACTCCACTACTACCTTTTTATTTTTTTATTTTTTTTTTAACGTGGGGGCGCAGTGCCCAAGGCACACGCCTCTTCCCATTAGGGCTGGAATAGGGCGTCGTTCGACACTCCTCGGAGCGTCCTCGAGCTCCGAGGACGAATCCTCGGAGTTTTTTTAAATTTTTGGAGGCGTCGTTCCACCTGTCCTCGGAGACTAGCCCTGAGGATGCATCCTCGGGGCCGTCCCTCGGCCAGTTTCATGAGATTATAGACGGCCGCGAGGGTGTTGTCCGACCTCCGATTCGGGATGTCCGTGTGCGAGGCGCGCTGGTCCACCAGCCGGACGGCGGCAATACATCACGGGCCGTGGAAAATAAAATTGCGAACACGGGAACGGCCCCGTTCGAAATTCAAAATTCGAATTTTCTCCGTGCGGAACGACGGTGTGGCGGCGCAAAGGCGGAAGAGCACGTCGACTGGGGGACGAGCGCACAGGCTTGACGTCGCGTTTCGTACTTCAGCGGCACCGCGCCGCCACCGTGTGTAGTGTGTTCGTCGCAGGCAAAACGAAGCGGCGTGTCAGCAGTTGCGCTCGCCACGTGCATGCGAGCGGCGCTTCCGTGGTTCAGGGGCGGAGGACGAAAGCTCCCATCACGGTGTAAGTTTTGTCATCACGCCTGTCTTCCACACCTCGTTGTAGGCGTCTTCGATCGTCGCCGTGGACGTTGATTCACGCAGGTGGGTGGCGGTGGACGTTGCTCTTCCTCGTGGACGTGCGCGAATGGAGGGATGAGATGGGGGTGGCCGTGCTGTGCTGTCGCCGACGGAGAGGACAGTTGTCGCCGCGGCTGCCGTTGCCGTAGTCCGTCGATACGAAGTGGAGAGGGCGGCGGGCCGCATAAAGGCAGCACTTTCCAGGCAGCGACACAGGCTTCTGCTGCAGAGGGTGTTGGACGCCCCGGACTGCATCATGACCTCGGAGGCCGTGGTTCAGCTGTGCGCTGCAATCGGCTCCGGTGTGCTTCCGAGGGCGACGCCACGTTGGTGGATGAGGCAGAGAACTGGCGGGACTTGGGAGGATTTGCGGGTGTGCGATGACACGACGGATTACTACTTCCGGGAAAAGCTCCACATGTCGAGGAGAGTGTTCATGGAGACCACCGAAGCCTGCGCGCCTCATTTGCAACGACAGGTCACGTTTTACAGGGAGCCGCTTCAGCCGGAGCAGATCGTCGCGTACGCGCTGTATAGGTGGGCAACAGGAGAGTCCTACGACAACAACACATCATCGTTTGGCATGGGCAGAGCATCCAGAGTTCGAGCCGTGCGCGATGTGACAGCCTCGTTGTTGAGGGTCTACGGGGACAAGATATCGTGGCCGACGGGGGTGCGCAAACACGTGGTGCTACGGGCGTTTCAGGACAAGGGTTTTCCCAACTGCCATGGCGCAGTTGACTGCACACACATCTACGTGGACAAATCGGCGAACGCTCCGAGCGAGAACTACTTCGACCGCAAGCACCGTTTCTCCGTCATTGCGCAGGTGGTGGTGGACCTGGATCTGCGTGTGCTTGACGTCTTCGTTGGCTACCGGGGCAGCTGCCACGACATTCGGGTGATTCAACTGTCAAGTTTGTCAAGGCGCGCGGAAGAGGGAACGCTTTTTCGTGGGCTGCCTGTAACGCTGCCGGGAGGGGTGAGGACGAACGAATATATCTTGGGCGACAACTGGTATCCTCCTTCAGAATGGATAGTGGTGCCGTACGGACGAATCAATCAACACCCGGACGAGTAAAGGTTCGACAACAAACAGAAGGTCGCTAGAGGTGTTGTGGAGAGGGCGTTCGGAAGGTTGAAGGGGATGTGGAGGCTCCTCCTGCGGTCGCACAAGACGAACTTGGACACTCGACCGCAGCAGTTCACGGCCGTCTGCATTCTCCACAACATCCTGCTAGATGCTGGAATCGAGTTCTACGAGAACTTGTTGTGGGAGGTCGACGAGAACGGGGTGAGGCGGCGAGTGGACCTGGGGATTCATTGTCCACTGCAGCCAGTGACGATGCTGACATCGCCGCATGCCGCACACGCGCTCCGCAATGCCCTAGCGGAGCGAATGAAACACATCTGATCGTGCGTATCGCGCCACTCTGCGTCGCATACACAAACAGAAGCCGTGTGCGTCCGTCGTTGAGTCGCAACGCTTGCGTCATTCACGAATGCGCGCAGTTAGCTCGCAGGGTTTGCAGTGGTGGACGGCTCGTTTGTAGGTGTTTGTTGTTGTAGTCGAAGGTAGTGTGCTTCTCCAGGTCGTAGGTGATCGGCAGTGAAGCGGCTCAATTGTCGTCGGTGATCGGCAATGACGTCGCTGTTTTTTTTTCCGTTGTTCATTGATGTCGTCCTTGCCGCGGCGGTGTTCCCGCGCAAATCCGTGGGCATGGGGATGGGAAGGGGGGGGGGGGGGGGGGGGAGGGGGTTTTCGGTGCTTGGTGGGTGGCGGCGCGGGAGCAGGTCGACACCCCTCTGTTTCGCATGTGCTTTGGATCGCTGTTTTGCTTGAAATTATAAGATATTTGTATTTTTTAATTTATTTGTGTGAGGTCGCCGTCGTGCGTCAGGCTGCTGTCCGTCTTTCGATGACACGTGTTTTCTGTCCACCACATGTAGCGTCTGTGATGCATGTTGTCTGCAGTACTTGGCGTTCGGTTGATGCTGTTGGTGAAGCTTCAATGTTGAACTGATGACGACCACGTGCATGGAATGAAATGTAATCAACAAACACTTTTCTCGTGATGGGTTCATATTTTGGCAAATGGTTGAGAACCCTCTTGTAATTTTTTCGATGGGTTCGTGCATTGTTTGTTTTCGTTTTTTTTTTCCTTCCCCTTTATCTGTGGTGTTCAACATGAACAGAAGTTGTGGACGACATGGCGATGAGCAATAACAAGAGCATGAGAATAGAAGCTGTGGACGCGATTCAGATGATCATTAACGATTATCGTGCATGATAAACCCGCATACAACAGAAGAAAAGCAGTAGTGGCTGAGCAATAAGAAGCTTACAGACACACGACGTTCACACAGAAACAGAAATGATTGCATAAAATCCGTTCAAGTACAGAAAAAGTTGTGGCGGCGACCGACTTTTCTCCTACCTATCCACCCTCCCTCTTCACTATCCACCCTCCAACCACGAAACACGAAGGACGAACTTATCCTGCCGTTTGCGCAGTGCTGCCACGTGTCACCCCCATGATTAACAAACCCTTTTGTGGAGCACGACCAGAAAGTGTGCTCCAATTCCTAAAAGACTACTTGAAAAAAATAAAAAAACAACACAGGAGCCGCTCACAACACACGTAATACGGAGCCATCTGCCGACGTGGCCACGCCGCTGGACCGCGCAGTCTTCGCCACCCTTATCGTTCGACGCGGTGAGAGATATTTCCGCAGCTCCGCCTTGAAAGACTGCTGCGCAGGACTTGCCACCTCACCTATTCGCCACACCCCCCACCCCCAACACTTGGCAACACCCGTCCCGCCTGTGCGCTACCGTGTCCACTGAAGGCGCACACTTCCTCCTGTTGTCACCACCGTCGACGAAGCGCCGACGATGCGCACCAACCCGCTGCCATCTGCTCGAGATGACGTGTAACTTTCCATCATCTCCATCGTCATCCGCCGCGGGCCCGCTGCCGATCCACCCGTGTTTTGCGGCCTCTGCCGCGTTCTTCAGGGCCGCGTTGTGCCCGAACACCAACCCACAATCACACCGTTCCGGAATGCATTGCGGGTAATCTCCCAGCGTGAGGTGGACCTTCCCTAGACGATCGAGGACGAGGTTGGAGGAGTCCACCACGTGTCGGCGCCAGTTGAAGATGTACGACCCCGCCGCTATCATCGTCGGTTTCGCGACCATGAACGCGTACAACCATGCCTCGTAATGTGATCGGTCGTCATCACCTCCCATGCGCATGATCCACATGACCGCACACAACAACGCTCGCAGACAGTCCGCGAGCCTGGACAACCTCTCCTGTTTTACGCGCCCGCCATCCGCCCACTGTCCGCACCAGAGTGCATCTGTCCAGCACTCCGCCAGCCGAAGAACTGTCGCCTCCTGCCGCGCCGCCATGTCGTCGTCTTCCGGGCGGTCCTCAATCTTCACCCCCGCGAACCACAGAGGCACGTCCATCTTCATCGTAAGCGTGGGGTAGACGAGTGCAGGGGATACCACTCTCGACCATTCCAAGGCCTGCCAAACTGCTCGTGCGAGGTCCGTGGCGAAGTCGACGGTGATGTACAACTCTGCACGAGCGAAGCCAGTCGACCTCGACTGCGATTTGAAGATCCAATCGTGGATGGTGCGCAGCACTACTCTCTCCACGCTACGCGCTCTGCGGAGAGCCGGTTCACGCTGCGCCGGGTCGTTGATCTTGAAGTGTGGCACGTCATTCGGCGGCATGATGAGCATCGAAGGCGGCTCAACTCCTGCGTCTCTGTTGGCGATGGCGACAAAGTAGTCGGTGCATTCGCCTACCGCCTCCCTCAGAGGTTTCCCGGGACCCTGACCCCAGAAAGCGTCGCAATCAACCCACAACTTGGCCTTTTGCGCGGTCGCTGTGTGCCCTCCCCCTAATGCCCCCACGTGTTGCAGGGGGAGTGGCTGACGTGGCTGACCTTGGCCTGCCGAAAGTTGTCCCGCGACCTCCGCGCCCGTGATGACAACCTCTGCCGTGTCTGGGGTCCTTGGCACTGTTCCGGCAGCACCACCAACAACGCTGTGTTTCAGTGCTTGTAGCTGCTCCCTCGATACTCCATCCCACCCGAAACCCAACCTCGCGACCCCTGCCGTCCCTTGCGCGTCCACCGTAGCCACTTCGTCTGCAAGGAAGTCATCAGTTTGTGAGGAGCTTGCGTCATCAATGCGCTGCCTGTTCGACTTCGGTATGTGGCCTCTGCCTCTTTGGATTTCCCCACCGTTGCCCACCCCGCCATCTTTCCTGCCCTTCGCTGAGGCGCCTCGTGGGGGCATCTGGTCTGCAAATCGGAAACAACGACCACGTAAACGAAGGCTGCCTTCGACGAAAGAGCGAGTGGAAGAAGGACGCGTGGCGGTCCAGTGCTGCCACGTGGACGGAGGCCGACGTGGATGATGCAGATGACGGGGCAGTGGTCGTGGAGCCGCGACGACAATGGCGACTGAAATGGAGATCGCGGACGACGAAACACGTTGGCGGAGGAGCACGTCCACGAAGGATGACGTCGACGGAGGAGCACGTGGACGGAGTCGGCGTTCAAGTCCACGACTGGCACGTGGGCGATCGGGACGTGGGCGACGGGGACGCGGGACCACTTGTTTGATGCGCATGAAGGGGCATTGTCCGCGCAGCACGAAGCGGGAGTGCGGAGCGGCGAAGCGGAGTTGCAGGCGCGCGACGACGAGCAGGTAGGCAGACGGTGCGAGAGGGAGCCGTGGCTAAGGAATCACTGCGGTACGGAATGGCGGGTGGAATGTCCTTTTCTACGTACTGCGATGTGAAAGTACACCATGGACATGAGTCCCCGTCCACTACAGCCCGCCCCTTCGTCGCTCGCCCATGGTCCATTTTCCTCCGCAGGCGCATGTCATCCCTCGCATGGCCAACATCGGAAGTGGGCGCGCAGAAGGACCCTAGCGGAGGTCGAAAAAGCCCGCCAACCCAACGACCCCCTCCTGCCCGAAAATCACACCCTTCTCCGAAACCCCCGGAGATCGCCATCCATGCGTGTCGGCGACGCCTCACTACAGCAGTCGTAATAGTCTATAATCGGACGACGTATTGTACCACCGAAGGACGCGCCTCGAGGCATGACAACAATCATACCCATTCTACAATGAAATCATCAAATAAATGCATACTTAAAAAAAAAATAACTGTGTGGCCAAAAAACCGTCTGTACACAACCTGCCCATCTCGTCACTGCAGCACGCAGGACAATAACGGCACGAGTGGCGGGGAGACGTCACGATCGCTCGCGGATCGCTTTAGCAATCTCCATAAGTGCGTTGCACATCATGAAGTTCGCTTGGTCGGCCTTAACGTAGTGTTCCTTCTGCACTTCAACCTCTCGCTCCAGAATGTCGCACTGCCTAGTCAGAATTGAGCATTGTCTCTTGCTCGCGCTGTCCACGGTTGTCGCCATCAGACTTTCGTGCTCCTTCATCACGTCTGCAATCATGTACAAGGTCTGCTGTCTCACATTCTTCCGTTTGCTGCCCCCGCCAACTCCACCGCCGCTGATAGAATCCCTCGTGGACCCCTGATCGTCGTCCTGTCCATCCCCGCCCCCCTCACTACCGCCGGATTCATTCCGACCTCCGTGTGGGCCGGGCATTTGAACACCTCCAGTCGCACCGGTGTCGGCGAGATTGGTGGGGTGTATGGTGTGATCGCTCCTGGTCATTGCCGCCATCTCTGAATACACACGCTCATCCATCCGGAAATCGAACCCCCGCTCCTTCCTCTCCCCTGGCGTCAGTGTGAAGAAATTTGGCTTCCCCGATTCTCCCATAAACTTGTGCACGGTTTTGAATTGCTGGTACAGGTTATCCCATTCATTCCCGCAATCGACGGCCTTTCTACTCGTGACCCCCATGTGCACCAGCCTCTTCTCCACGTCGTCCCACTTCATGTCTTCGTCTTCATCCTTCCCGCGGTGTGCGCGAGGCCGGCAAGATGCGAATCCTGGTCTCTTTTTGCCCGGATGAGAGCAATCATGTGCTCCACGGTCCAAAAATCCCGGTTTTTCGATCCCTCGTCAGCCAACGCATTTTCCACACCCTTCTTCCCCCTCCGCCCCGTGCGCGTTTCCGACAACTTTTTCGCGGCCCTCGACCCTCCCCGCTTTCTCCCTACTGGACGAATCTCCATCTCCTCGTCGTCCTCCTCGTCGTCGTTATCGGCCCCGTCGTCCGCCTCGCAATCCTCCGCCACTGCACCATCTTCATCGCCGAATATATCGTCCGCCCCCACGTTAATCTTCGCCACCCCTCTCGTTATGCTGGTCGTGCTCGCTTCACGCGATTGTCGCCGATGATCATCCCAAACCTTTCGACCAACGATCTCTGTTGCTGACCACTCATCGTTTGGGCGTCGTCCATCCACTGTGCCACCTGCCGTCGTCGTTCTACACGGAACTGATCTGCCAGTCCGCGTTGTCATTGGAGCCGGTGTGTGGGTCGTGCCCGAAGCTCGGTTCACGATAACGGTGCGCGTCACCTCCTCGGCACTCCCGGACCTCAATCCGAAGCTGAGATCCACCAGTCCTGCGTCATAACCAGCCGGGGTACGCCCCTCGAGCAGATCAGTGTACGTCGGCGTCGATGCCTGCCTGTACAGCTGGCTCCCCATCCAATCCTGAGCCGAACCGCTGCCCAGAGGAAGGGTAGAACATCGTGGGTCATCGCCGTCATCGTCACTTGGAGGCAACGGAATCTCGTGGGACGGCAGGTGGCTGTACAGTGCGGGGTCGTACGGCCGCCTGACTGCTTCCGCACTTCTGCAGCGCTGACGTGACGACCCCGCAGCCCCAACGGACAGCGTGGTCCTCGTCTGTACCCTCTCCATCTTCCTAACCGTCTTCGACGTTCGCCGCGTCTGTTTCCTACATGGAACGCGCACGAGGCAGCAAATATGGAAGACGACAACGGCAAGCAGCAGCACAACGACGAGCAGCAGCAAAGGCAGCCGGCGGTACAGGTCTGCCATGAACGACAGGGCAGCAGAAACAAAAGACGCACTTGCGCTGTGGCAAGCACGGCGAAGAGAGACAAATGGTGCGAGAGGGAAGATGCCAACGAATGAAATTGATGCAATCTCGCAGCTGGCTGCAGGAGGGCGCTTACAAAATACGTATTTTCGACTGTTGTGGAGCACGCGGGAACGGCACGACCACTGCAGGAGCCGGCCGAAGACGTCCGATGCTCGTCACTGGACCTCCGCCGGGACACCCGACGAACCGACAGGGCCGTCCCGCGACGATCACCGCCAACGGTAAAACGACGAGGCCGTTACTCGACGTTTTGGACGCCCACGCCTCGGGATGTCCGTCTTCCGCCTTCCGGACCACCTCGTGGACCACTTTCGACCTCCGTTGCCCCTTCGTGACACGCCGCCGACACCCTGATAATCGCGGATCCTCGGGCTCCAAAGGACCTCGCGAGGTCCCTTGAACCCGAGGACGATTTGGCTGGGAAATCCTCGGAGCCCGAGGATTTGTCCTCGGAGTGTTTTCACATTTCTGTTCCGAAAATCGGCTCCGAGGACAGGTGGAACGATGACGAAATCCTCGAAAAATTGTCCCCGAGGAGTGTCGAACGATGCCCATAGTCTCGGCCATTCCACTACTCTTGATTTTTGCGAAAAACTATAGAAATGGCCTTGCTCCACTGCACTCTCGGTTTGGTCACTCCACTACAGTAACTCTTGATTTTGCGAAAAACGAGAGAAATGGCCCAGCTCCAGTCTGACTCTTGATTTGGGAAATCCAGTGTCAGAAGCACCCTTTCCAGAGCCATCTTGATGACACAAGAGTGAACAGCCTGCACAAACCAAAAGTTCGAAGGGGCCTTTATATATACATATATATCATGCTCTTAGTCAATAGTTCTGTGACAATATATATATATATATATATATATTATATAAATTGAACGGAGGCCGGCGCCATTGCTCGGACGTGCTCCTCAAGTAGGGATGGTTTTTATTTTCTTTTTTCTTTTCAAATGGCTTGTGCAAAGGGGTAGAGAGTTAAGAGAAAGGGAGCCACAGCCATTTTTCTCTTGACTTCACACGTCTGACAGTTCTCAACCCACTGTCCATTTTTGCGCAGATTTGAGAGTGGTGGAGCGAGGCCCAATTACCCTACTATCTTTTTTTCTTTTCCCTGTGTGCAGATCCAATTGCCATTTTCCGGCCACCAGTTCTGCCCTGCACCCATGCTCCTCGGCCAGACCTGATTGTAGTGGTCACCCTTTTTATTTCTTCTTTTTTTGCTGTTTTTAGGGGGGGGAAACTGCGGATTTGTGGCAGGGGAAGGCGGCCTCCAATCCAGGAACATCCTGTTCGTACCCTAAAACGCGATGCTAGGGGTACCATCAGACATTGCTGGCAGGCCTCCAATCCAGGAACATCCTGGTTGTACCCTAAAACACGATGCTAGGGGTCCCATCAGACATTGCTGGCAGATCACATGCGCACAAACACGAGAGAGAGAGAGAGAGAGAGAGAGAGAGAGAGAGAGAGAGAGAGAGAGAGAGAGAGAGAGAGAGAGAGAGAGAGAGAGAGAGAGAGAATTTTGATGTAATCAGGCAGATGAACACACAATAAAGTGATGGCCCCTAACAGAGTCAGCACCTCTGATTCTCAATCGTGAAAGGGCAGGGGCATGAATGCTGTCTTGTCTTTTTCTTTTCTTTGGTTTTCAGAGGCTAAGCAGCTGAACCAAATTGAATCTTCTTTCTTCTCTGACAGGATGGCCTTTCGGGCCTATCTTTTTGTTTTTGTTTTTTTGTCTTGGGGAACTTGCTCCAATCTATTCGGGGGGAGCAACAAAGTCCTCAAAAGGCCTTTTCGGGGCTTATTGTCTTTATTATTACAGTCTTACGGGAAACCCCGTAGCAGCCATATCCATGCCCATGAGAGAACATGTGAGACTGCACCCAACCTGTAGGTGGGTGATTCCAGCCAGAGGTCAGCTGCTAGTATCTGGACAGAGCAATGCCAGTCGCTGCGCTCCCCTCCAGTCTCCTTCCCTACAAACATCAGCGGTAGACTTCCTCTAGATGGTGTGCACCAAGTGTGCCCAGGAAGGTAGATGATGGCCCCAAGAGGAATCAAACCCATGAGAGCCTGACTGCGCTGTACCAACCAATCTGCTAATCTTGTCTAAATTCTCTTTATGGGGCCTTTGTTTTTCTCTTTCTTTCTTTTTTTTCTTTTTTTTTTCTTAAAAAATAAATAAATAATAAATCACGTTCCGGGAGTCCTGCTTAACAAGGTGGTACGAGCCCACCTCCTTAAGCAGGTCCCAGTGTTGAAGGCTTCATCTATTGGTGGGGAGCATCACCTGCTGGAAATCGTGTCCAGCGTCCCTGTGTACATCAGTGTGTTATCATGAATATGCTTCACTCGAAGAGGAACACATTCTGTATAACCTGTCACCAAGTGCCTGTTATGTACTTTTATGACCATTAATCAGTAATGTGGCATCGTGGGGCGGCCTCGGCCACGCCCCCCACCTGCCCACCTTCCCTGAGTCCCGTGCCTCATTACCTTATGCTTGTTTTCTCAGTATCACAGTGAGTCACTGTGTCTCGCTACTATCAATGTCAGACTGTGTTTTCTTAATTACACTGCTCCCGAACTAGATACTTCTTCCGTATACACAGTGTGTCCCTCTGTCGTACTGTCTGCTCTGCTGTTTTAGTCCCTTGTGGGGCGGTATGAAGCATCTGTGGCCTCCTTCCTGTTCCCCCCCCCCCCCACACCCCCCCAGCCTCCACGTTTTCTTACTCCTTGCGAGACCTCACCCACCCTCCTTTTATCTTCAATTCTTGCTGGGGCGGCCCCAGCAAGAATGGGCCTCTGTCCGGTACTCACCACATGCACACAAAGGAAAAGGCAAGAAGTATGGTGTTGTATCTTTCCATGTTCTACGAGAAGATTCATTCTCATTTTGCACATGTGGTGAATAGTGGAGTCACTGGAGTGAGGCCCAATCACCCCTCTGTTGTTGTCCCCATGGACAATATCTATATATTTATATCTAGAACTGTACAGTCCGACTTACCCAACGTTTTGGATGCACCAGTACGCCGCCCCTGTCCAGATACCTGTAGAACCTTATGTAGTGGAGAGAGGCCCGGGGATACGGAAGTCGGGGCATACTGGCACTAGCATGTAAAATTGCAAAATCAAATGATTTGTCTAAGTTTTAGGGTCACACGTTCACCATATCCTCGCAAATTCATGTATCTGGGTACGTATATCTCAGCGGCCTGGGGAGCTGTGCCCATACATATTTTGCTGGCACCTCTGGAGGTGTCCGCAAAATACATAATAATTCCTGTGATGTAAAAAAAAAAAAAAAAAAAAAAAAAAAAAAAATCTTTCCGCATTCACCACTAAACTTATCTACCTCGCGCCGTGTGACCGCACGGGGCATGAACTCGCATTCGGAGGACTAGTCACGGTGGTGTCTTTCCTGTTTTGTGCTAGAGGGGGAAAGAGCTGTGTGACCAGGCCGTACTGGGGGAGAGCCCATCGATAGGGCCTATTTTTTGGTCGGTAACTTTTCGTGACTAACCCCAAGAGGGCCTGATGGTACAGTAGATAGACCTGTTTTTTCAGCTCGATGATAGGGCCTGATGGTACAGTAGACAGACATGTTTTTTCAGCCCTGACTTAGGCCCCCCATTTCAGAAGAAGGCAAGTTGAAGGTTGAAATGGTTTTTTCAGATGGCGGCGCAATGAGTTCTTTCAGGATTGACGAGTAGAATAGTACTTTGAACCTGTCCTAGTATTAGTCAGTTTTTAGGAATAGGCTTTGTCCCACGCAAGTTAAATAGGATACTACAGAAGTCAGTCCCACCGACAAGATCCCTGATGAGCGCTGGTGTGGCGACCAGCCGAAACCGGCCGGATCGCGCCACGGTTTACGTTACGCATGTTTTCCACTCTTATCATATGAGTTACGTTCGGGATGATTTTTCTATTCGCACTTGCATTGACATCACCTTCTACCTCTATTCTTCTCTTTCCCGTTCCGTCTTCTTGAGACTTCTTCTTCTTCTTCTTCTTCTTCTTCTTCTTCTTCTTCTTCTTCTTCGTCTTCGTCTTCGTCTTCTTCTTCGTCTTCTTCTTCTTCTTCGTCTTCGTCTTCGTCTTCGTCTTCTTCTTCTTCTTCTTCTTCTATTGTCTGTCTTTGTTCGTGTGACTTTGGATCAGCTACCGTGACACTTCTTGACTGTTGGCATGGTTTTACGGGTTGTTGACAACAAGAACTTTGACTCACAAAGTAACCGGCGTAGAGGTAACACTACGGCTGTGTGGCTTTGCATCACACTGTACGACTGCTGACGTTTCAAGCATGGCTACAAATGGAGCTGCTGCCAGAGGTTGCCACAATTGCGGCCAGATCGGGCACTTTATGCGCTTCTGCCCTTTTCCGCCTCGGAATCAAGTTGCTAATCCAAACTCAGCTCTTGTTACTGTCCAACCGCCGATTCTCACTACACCGAATCAAGTCGGAGGCTACAGTGGGAACTCGGGTTATTACATCGAGGAGGTGGCGGCTGACACTATACTAACCAGAGAATTGCCAATTTAGAAGATCAAGTTCTGAAGTTCAAGGGTCGGATCGATGCTGAAGATGAACGCGAAAAAAAACAAGAAGGAAGAACAGGAACGTAGAATCAAGGAGGAAGAAGACGAGAAGAGGAGAGAACAAGATAGGATTGATCGAGAGACCGCGTATAAGAAGATGGCTGACAAGATGAATGCACGTTTTGACAAAGTATCTGAAGTATTAAAAAGCAAGACAACGAAGGACAACGAAGGCGAAATCGAGAAGCTGAAGGAGCAGATCGCCAAACTACAACAAGGAAAGGGAGGGGACCGACCATCTAGCAGTAACACTACAATCATTGAGAATGATTCCATGAGGCGTTTGCAAGAATTGGAAGAATAAGAAGAGTGCACAAGCGGAAGCGGACCGGCGGGTGGCCTTACTTGAAGAAGAAGTGAACATGCTGAAACTGCTTCATAAACGAGCTCAAGACGAGGCTGAATCTTGGAAACAGGAAGCCTTTCGACCAGGCAAGAAACGAGGCTGCATTGCTATCGAAGGTTCGCCTAGCCTGCTCACGAAGTCTAGGG